TTTTAAATTTGAATAAAACTTTTGATTTAATATGAATTACTTTAACTTTTTCATTAAATTTTTACCAATTTTTAAAAGAGCTTTCATTCTTATCCCAATTTTTTTTTTTTCTTTTCACCAATTTTGATAGAAAAAACAATAATTTTCAAAGTTTCATCTTTTTAAATTTTTATCAAATTATAATTTGATAAGAAAAAATATATTAAAGGTTGAAGATTCTCTTAATTGGAATTATAGTGAAATAACATCTTGAAATATTCAAAGTTTGAGTATGTGGTTGGTTAAAATGTATAATTTAATTAATTCTCTTCTCATATTTGTATAAAAATTGACACTTATGACTAAATCATTATAAGTTGGATTATGGAAAAAATTTTGGAATGTCAAACGTTTTCCATTTGTGAATATCCTGCATATTCAAAAATGAAAAACAAAAAAAAAGAAGAAAAAAATGTGTAGCTCTTTGATATGTGTTTATCAATTTTGTTTTATAGATATAAACAATTGATGTTTCAATTTAAAAAATTAAAAAGTAAAAAAAAAATAGATTGGGTTTTTTAGAGATTAAAAAAACCATCTAACTCTTCTATATACTATTAAGATGGACTATTTCAATTTAAAAAATTAAAAAGTAAAAAAAAAATAGATTAGACTTTTTAGAGATAAAAGAAACCATCTAACTCTTTTATATACTATTAAGATGGACTATTTTAATCATATAAAAAAAATAGAAATTATATTTAGAGATTATCCTTATATATTGGCCCTATTTGGTAAGACTTGTTTCCAGCTTATTTCAGCTTTTAGCTTAATTTAAGCTATTTTGATGTATTTGGTTCAGCTTAACAATACAGCTTATAGCTTTTTGTAAGTCAAAAATTAACTTATTCTTTGAGTGGGGGAGGAGAACCTTAATTTATAAGTCAAAAATCAGCTTATGTTCACAGTTATAAACTATAAGCTGTTAAGGTATAAGTCATAGTGCCTGTTTGGCAGAGCTTAATTACAGCTTATTTCAGCTTTCAGCTTAATTTAAGTTATTTTGATGTGTTTAGTTTATCTTATAGCTTATAGCTTATAGCTTTTTGGAAGTCAGAAATCAGCTTATTCTTTGAGTAGGGCAGGAGATGCTTTAAGAATAAGCTGAAAATCAGCTTAAGCTGAAAGTTATAAACTATAAGCTGTTGAGGCATAAGCTATAAGCACTTTCTCACAGCTCTACCAATCATTTTCCCACAACTCTACCAAACGAGACCATTATGCTATTATATACAATTATAGTTGTAACAAATTAACTATAATATATCTGAAAAGTTATATTAAGTTTTCATTTTCAATTAATTGAATTATAATTAACAAACTAACAAATACCAATAATGGTTTGATAGAATAGAAAGAGAATAAAAATAAAGAACACAATGATATTTAAAAGTTTTAAATTTACCTAATTATACAAAAATATAATGTTATAGTAAAATCTTGAATTCTCAACAAATTTTCACATTTTTTATAAAATAAAATGACAAAAAGCATAAAAAAATTTGATACCTATTTTTTTTATTTCAATTTTATTGTATTCACTGAAGAAAATAAAATTCGATCAACATCCTTGGCATGGAACGGACATAGATACTTCGATTGTAACCATAATCACCAATAATTCTTCTCTACTATGCAAACCTGTAAACAAACACATAAACCTCACTAAAATCAAAGCCAAAACCAAACCAATAGTAGAGAAAGAGAATCACACAGAGAAAAAATAAAATTAAAAAATAAATAAATTTATAAAGTCGAAGAATGTTACCTCCAATAACTTAAATCTTACCTAACCCAATCCGTTAGCTCTTCTGCCAGTGCCCGCGAAATTTAGGAATTGGGATGACTAATCAGATTATTCTTTAAATAAGATTTGAAAATTGATTAATTTGTCTCAGTAAGTGATTTAAAAAATTTTGATATATATATATATATATATCAGAAAATAGATAATTATACTACTAAATATATTTTAAATTTAGATATTGTCATATTTTTTTTAGATTCATATTTAAATTCTTATCTTTTTTATTTTTGCGCGGTTTCTATTCGGTTTTTTTTTTAATTTATTTAATATGGAGTTATGGGTATCTATTTTTTAAAATTTAATTTATTTGTGATTTCGATTTATTTTTAATTATTATTATTTAGGTAATTCATGATGTGAGTTAGATCTGTAATAGACATATGGATTTTATTGATTTAAAGTATAATGGTGGAAGATATTTTCAAATTAGATTTGTTTAGGTAAACTGTAAAGATTTTTAAAATTTAAAATTGGATATTGAGATGCAAAAGAAAGATTTTAACTAAATAAATAAAAATCAAATGTATTAATTTTATCTGTTTGTGTATCTGATTTTTAGTTTTCTTTTTTTTTTTGTTATGTTATAATATAATATATAAGATATAGATAGATATCTACAACTTTTATGAAAAATATTATCTAATTTTTTGAGAAAGAAAGAATGAAGGAAAGTCTTAATATTTTTTGTTTTTGGAAATCAGTAAGAGAGATTAGGATGGAGCAATTATGAAATATTTTTGTTATTAAATAAATAAATAAGTCAATAGTTTTTTTAATGTATTTTGTAAATTAAAAAAATAATAATTTTAGAAAATTAATTAATTTGTTCCATTAAGTGATTTAAAATTTTGATAGATATACATTAAAAAATAGATAATTACATTATTAAATCATAATTCAAATTTAGATGTTATATCTTTTTGAGATCCATGGCTAAATTCTTATCTTTTTTTTTTGTATGTAACCATAGTGTATAAGAAATTGAAAAGGGTGCTGCAGTAATTATGAAAGAAATCAAAAGGACTTATGGGTTGGGAGAAGTCAATAAATATTGAGATTTTTTTAAATCAAAAAATTAGAAAATCAGAATTACGATATTGGACTTCCCACAAAACTTGTAGATTAAAAACCCCTTTTTCCTTATAATATATAGATAAATTATGAATTTTAAATTTATCAATTTAAATCTTAATTTTTTTATTTATTTTCAATATAAATCATTTTCCTATTTTCATTAAGTAAAACCGATAGGGAAATGAAATTTTAATCATTAAAATTCACAAAAAAAAGTATTTAAATATTTTATGCATACTTACATTGAATTTAATGACTAAAATATCAATTATTTGTCAGTTTTACCCAACAGAAATAGACAAATGATTTAGATTTAAAACAAATCAAAATATTAGGGTTTAAATTGAAAAAATCAAAAATTTAAGATTTATTTTATTAGAAGAGTCAAATTTTAAAAAAAAGAAAAAATTAGGCATAACTACGGGAAAAAAAACCCCAAGACTTTATTCTTGTTACAAAATAAATTTTTAATTTTTAACTTTGTTAATTTGAATCATAATATTTTGAACTATTTACAATCTAAACCATTCGGCTATTTTCATTAAGTAAAACTAATAGAAAAAATAATATTTAGTTATACTCAATGTAGCAACATGTAAAATGTCTAAAATATTTTTTTCATTAAATCTAATGGCTAAAATATCTATTTTTCATTGATTTTACTTAATCAAAATAAATAAATAATTTAGATTAAAAATAAATTTAGATTGATAAAAAAATTTAAAAAAAAAAAAAACAGAATTTATTTTGCTGGAAGAATCAAATTGTGAATTTTTTTTTTATTTATTGAAATTAAAAATTTTCCATTGGTAAGTTTTGGTACGTACCACAAGTGGGACCACCAATAATTGAAGTAATAAAAGGAGAAGGAAATAAAATTAGAAACCAGAGCAGGAAGGAAGACGAGATATATATATATATATTAGTTTTGGAGTTTTCTTAAGTGTGCAAGTGCACACCATGTGCCACTTACACAAAAAGTGTAAGTGTAAGGTGTAAGTATAAGTATAAGGTGTAAGTGTAAGGTGTAAGTGTAAGGTGTAAGGTGTAACTGGGTTGCACATGGTGTGCAACCTCAAAAAAGGTGTAAGTGTAAGGTTTAATTTTTTACAAAAGGTGTAAGTGTAAGGTGTAAGTGTAAGGTATAAGGTGTAAGGTGTAAGTTGCACACCATAACCAAACCCATTAGTTTTAGGCATGAGTTATTATTATAATATATTTAAGTTTTATATTTTGATAAATTTTTAAAAATTAAAATATTATTATTTGTAATTGAATAAAATAAATTATTAGATATATAATAGAATTATGTACTATGATATGTATTATATATAGTTTTTTTCAACAGATAAATATAAAACAAATATTAAGATAATTCTCTCATCTAAAAAAAACTATTAAAATAATTTACTGAATTAATAAAGAAGTAAAATAAAATACATATATGTACATGACTAATTTTATTAATATATAAATCATGCTCGCATTATAAATGATCAATTTTATTAATAAGTAAATCATTAAATAAATTAATAATTTTTAATGATATGAAAATTATTTTTTTGTCAACCATTCTATTAATAAATAAATTATTAATCAATTAATAATTTTTAATGATATGAGAAATATTTTTTAATAAATAATTTTGATAATTTATTATTGCATAGGAGAATAGTTTTTTTTTTTCTTAAGTATTGTGTTAAATAAAAATTTATAACAAATAATAGTTGTAATTTCTAATACTATAAGACCAATTCATATTTTGATCAAATTTTCTGAGTGTATTTGTAATTTGTTAAAAAATAAAAAATTTATGTTTCATAATTAATCAAGAATATTTACATAATTACTAAAAAAATCTGTTATATAATTGATTAAAAGTATTTATACAGTTATTAAAAAATTTCAATTATTGCATAAATAAATTATTCAAAAAGGCGAAACTGAAATACATATTTTGTGAATAACTATAACCCAAACACTAAAAAAAAAAAAAGAAGTTCCATAACTGTGTGACACAGGGACACGTTAAGTGCTATAATCGTGTTGAACGCGGGGATATGTATGGGACACACCACATGGGGGCCGTCGGAGACCTCCACACTTTTCAGGAACGAACCAGACCTACACATTCTTCTCAGAACCCGCATTCTTCATCGTTTCCACGGTCGCTTGGTTCAGGTACAAATTTTCACTTAATTTACAGTGAATTTAGGTGTTTTGTCTGAAATCTTCAAACTTCTGAGGTTTTTGTTTGAAATCCTACAAATTTGAGGGTTTTTTTTTCTTCCATTTCGTTTACTGCTAGCTAAACATCTAGTTTATATTTGTTTGGACACACATGCCCTTAGAATTGGACCAATAATTCAATAAGGGAAAGACTACATGCACCGTTTAATTAAAAAGAAAATAGCATAATTTTATACTTTCTAAGGGATAACTAAATTTAAATAATAAATAATAAATAAAAAGTGTTCATAACTAATGTCATAACAAATAAGAAAATTGTTCACGACTAAAGGTGCATATATATGGTATGAGGTGTGTATTTTCAACAAAATATATAGGGTTAATTACACCTTTCACTTGTAGTTTAATTTAAGGCCAAGTTTGGCAATCCAAAATAAGTACACACTTTTTATCTTTTTATCTTTTTTTCATCACATCATCTCTTTACTTTTCTGCACATCTTTTCGTAAAAAGACAAAAAGTATACTTATTTAGGTCATCCCAAACAAATTTCACTTTAGTCTCTACAATTTTAATTTAAACAATTTGGTCCCTACACTTTAAGTTTATTTTCAATTTGGTCCTTTCATGTAAACTTTTGTTAATTTTGTCTACATGCACACCTTAGAAGATTGATAAGTGTTCCAAACTTACTAATTTTAACTTTTAATTTAGCCAAATTGAAACTAGACTTAGAGTATAGGAACCAAATTGTTCAAATTGAAACTATAAAGACTAAAATAAAATTTGGGTCAAACCACAGAGGTGAAAAGCGTAATCAACCCAAATATATAATTTGATGTTTGGCAAACAAAATTAATGTCTGGAATAATAGCTATCCAGGCATGCCCTTATGGGGAATTATTGAATCCTAATACCGTGGGTTGTGATACAAAATAGAAGACTAAAGAGAGATTCAGACGAATTAGTTACATTGCAAAAGTGATAAGATTTTGTAAATTTTTCCTCATAATTCTAAGTCAATCCAAATAGTATAGGATAATCTATAGGGATTGATAATCACAAGACTAATAGTCTCCGCAATATGGCCATATTTGTTTGGACAAACATAGCCTTGGGATTGGACTAATAATCCAACAAAACACATAATCCAATGTTTTGCTAAGAAAATTAACGTTTACACTTTTAGTCTATGGAGATGGTATTCCTCATATGGTGGATTATTGAATACTAAGAGGGGGTGAGACATTAAATGGAGAACTAAGGAGAGATTCAAAAATTAGCTAAATTAAAAAATTGATAGGATTTTGTCATTCCAAACATGGATAGGATACACAAACCATAGGGATTGATAATCCCAGGACTAACAGTTTCAAGAATGCTAATCTCATCTATTCTAATCCGTTCAAATAAACATGGCCTTAATCTCATCTAATCTAGTCCGTTGAAACATACATGGCTTTAGGGGTTTCCTTTTCATTCTTTTGTTTACTACCCCAACACTATTACCCCTTTTGTTTCATTCGTCCCTCAACTATTGAAAGTGTCTATTGTGCACCCAGACCACACATTTTAATTTGAGTCTAATACATCCATTTGACCAAAAAGCCATTCAAATTGCTAACAGCATGGTAGAAAAAATAGACATTTCACAACTATCTTTCTTCCTAAAGCCAATGTAGTGTCATATGGTTGCACATATATGCCACATGGGCACCAAAAAAACCCATCTCAGGCCCAAAATATAGTTTTTCACTAAAAAAAATACTCCATAAAGCATCCATTGATCCGAAATTATATAGTTTTGAGTTAAAACAATGTAGCTTTTTGACCCATACCCAAACCAAATCCATACCCTAACCTATACCAAAACCCCAACCCAAGCCAAATAGCCAAACCCACCACCTCCCATTCTCCTCTGTCATTCCCCCCACCCCACCAACTCTGCCTCTGCCTCCGCCTCCGCCACTATCACCACCACCACAATCCATCCCACATAACTGAAATCCCCTACCACCATCATAGCAACCTTCAACCAATTCACACTCACATGCACGCAAAGAGAGAGAGAGAGAATTGGGGTTGTCGAACGTCGGGGGTAGAGGATTGGCAACTATGAAGCACCGACACTTCAAAACAAGTGTTGTATCTGTGTCGGACACACGGATATTTTGGGAACACGCGGACACAACGGGGTTATGTATGGGACACACCACATGGTGTGTCCCCTTATTTAATTAATTCATTTTCAGAGAACACGCCGGGACACTTCGGAGAGACACTAAAGACATGCCAAGTTGTCTTTTCCCCCACTTTATTTAATTCTTTTGATAAATGTTAAATGTTTATTATTTTTTCTTAAATTTAATTACTTAATAGATCATTCATAAAAAAATATATAAATTGTAAATGTTAATTTAAAAGTGTTTTTTTTATATAAAAAAATATAGAATTAGAGTTAATTTTTGTTAATATTGATTATTTGTGGATGTAATATTAATCTAAATAGCAAATAAAAATATATGAAAACATATTTTATTGTCGTATTCCCGCTGTATTCGTGTCTCCAATTTTTTGAAATCTTCATGTCTCGTGTCTGCATCCGTGTTCGTGTCCAAGTCTGCATCCGTATCTGTGTCCGTGCTTCTTAGATTGGCGAGGTGGTTGTAAGAGAGGCGGAGGTTCTACAAATTAGGGAACGAATTGAAGATGTCCGGATCAAGATGTTGGCATTACTGGCGTAAAAGGTTCCCAAGCTATTCGACTAGGGGTGAGATTAGTGGAGATGGACCACAAGGAGAGATTGGTATTGTGGTTGGGGCTCGCTAACTACAAATTGGGGAGACCAGAGAAGAAATCACAAGGTAGCAAAGTGAATTTTGTATCAAGGTAGTTTTGCTTGAGGGAGGTGAGGTTGGAGGGGGATTGGCGGCTCTGCTGAGGGTGAGGGTTTTGGGGTGAGAGAGCTGGTTGAGATTGAAGGGGATGGAGTTGGTGAGGGACTAGGAGGCGAGGTTGATGGAGATGACCGGTGGTGAAGAAATATGGAGGAAGGACGTTGGGGGAGGGGGTTGATGGTAGTGACTAGGGGGAGGGGTCGAGGGGTTGCCGTTAGGCACAATTGGGGGAAAGTATTCGGGAGGGGTGGGGTTGAGAGGGAAAAGGATAAGGTAATGGAATTGATAAAGAAATTCAAAATGTGAGAAAGGAGAGGGTGATGGTGGGGATAAGAAGGTGACTAGTTGTGAAGAACCCAGTAATAGCGTCGCTGGTGGGGAAGGGCTGAAACCCTAAGGGAAGAAGATGCTGGGGTTGGGTGGTTTTATAAAACAATTAAGTTGGTGTCAAAACTACGTAGTTTTGGATTAATGCAGCAAAATTTATTTATTTTTATTTTTTTTTTTCAGTCAAAACAACGTAGTTTTGGGTCTAAGATAGGTTTCTTTGGTGCCTTGTGGCATACATATGGACGACATGACGCCAGATTGGTTTTAGGAGGAAAGATAGAGATGAAATGTCTATTGCTCTTCATGCTGTTAACAATTTCAACTATTTATGTACAATGGACTTCGTATACTCAAATTAAGAATGTTTAGGGACACAATAAACACTTTTAATAGTTGTGAATAAATGGTAATAGTTTAATGGTGGTTTTCATATTTTACCCTAAAAATGAAGGGTTTTTACTACACCAATTGATGTCAATAAACATTTTAGAGTTTTCTTTTGTTAAAATGTGTTAAAGTATATAAAGAATACACACTAATACACTGTAAAGTAAAGCACACACACACACCAGCAAGTATACAACGAATACACTGTAAAGCACACACACACACCAGCACACACCCACTAACATCACATGTTCGGATCACACTGTAAAGCACACACCAACACACACCCACTAGCACACCCCAGCACACAAAGAAAGCTTTAGCAATAGTTTAATGTACCTTCTCCTCTCTATAAATAGAGAGAGCCCAGTCTCTTGTAATACACACAAAAAATATACATACTGAATACATCAAAAATATAGAGCTAATTTGCTCTCTCAATCTCTCTCAATTTCTTTCAAAATGTTTTGTGGATGTTGCAGAAAAGCTAAAAAATTCTTCAAACTGCAACGATTTAAGAAATACAGCTTCTTAACAGACCAAAAAAGAAAGAAGTTCTAGATTAATGGCGAAGAGAACTGCCGTTTAAAAAGAGAGAAAAAATGACATTGCCAAGGTTTGTTGTTCTCAAATCAATCTATAACGACAAGTACTTGCGCTACATACATGAAGATGGGCCAATACATGGGTTTCTCCAATTCTCCGAAAAGGAGGTTTCCAGTCCCTATGCAAAGTTCGAAGTGGAGATGGCAAAGACTAGTAATGCGAAGGGACTTGTGCATATAAGATGTTGTTTCAACAATAAATACTTTGTAAGGTGGACGCCAAACCACTGGTGGATTGTTGCTGGGGCTGACGAACCAGAGGAAGATCAATCCAAATGGCCCTGTACATTGTTTGAGACCCTCTATGTGGATGGTGCTATTCATCCAACAATAGAAAATGTTGGTCAAACAATTCGATTTCGCCATGTCCAGCTCGGCCACTACGCATGCTTATGGAGGGCAGCACCCCCGCACGATTCATGTTTATTTGCAGGATCGCCAGATTTTGACCAAGATTGGTGCGATATCTACTCATTCATCGATTGGGAATCACTGTCAACACCCACACCTGCAACGTTTACAAAAGAGAAAATAGCGTTGCCAAGGGTTGTGGTGCTTAAATCAAACTACAATGACAAGTACTTGCGCTACATACATGAAGATGGGCCAGTGCATGGGTTTCTCCGATTCTCCGAAGAGGAGGTTTCTAGTCGGTACGCAAAGTATGAATTGAAGAGAGCTAAGACTAGTAGTGGGAAGGGATGGGTGCATATAAGATGTTGTTACAACAACAAATACTTTGCAAGGGGGTCGGCGAATGACTGGTGGATTGTTGCCTGGGCTGACCAACCAGAGGAAGACCAATCCAAATGGTCCTGTACCTTATTTGAGCCCCTCTATGTAGACGATAGTGCTGCTCAAACAACAATTAGACGTGGTGGTCAAACAATTCGTTTCCGTCATGTCCAGCTCGGCCACTATGCATGCTTATGGAGGGCAGCACCCCCACATGATTCCTGCTTATATGCAGGATCACCAAATCCTGACAAAGATCAGTGCGATGTCTACACAATCATTGATTGGGAATCGCTGCCAATATTGCCACCGAAAGAAGCAGCATTTGCAGGAGAGAAACTGGCGTTGCCCAGGTTTGCGGTGCTCAAATCAAACTACAATGACAAGTACTTGCGCTACATACATGAAGATGGGGAGATGCATGGGTTTCTCCAATTCTCTGGAGAGCAGGTTTCCAGTCCATATTCGAAGTTCGAATTGGAGACGGCAAAGACTAGTGGGAATGGACTTGTGCATTTAAGATGCTGTTACAACAACAAATACTTTGTAAGATGGTCGCCAAATGACCGGTGGATTGTTGCCAAGGCTGCCGAACCAGAGGAAGACCAATCCAAATGGTCATGTACATTATTCGAGCCCCTCCATGTAGATGATGGTGCTGCTCAAACAACAATTGGATCTGTTGCTCAAACAATTCGATTTCGTCATGTCCAGCTCCACCACTACACATGCTTATGGAGGGTAGGATACCCACACATATCATGCTTATTCGCAGGAACAACAGAGCCTGACAAACAACAATGCGATGTCTACACAATCATTGATTGGGAAGCATTTACAAGAGAGACAATAACATTGCCAAGTTTTGTGGTGCTCAAATCGAAAAACAATGACAAATACTTGCGCTACATGCATGAAGATGGGCAGCAGCATGGGTTTCTCCAATTCTCTGGAGAGGAGATTGTGAGCCCGTACACAAAATACGAAGTGGTGATGGCAAAGACTAGTGGTGGGAGGGTAGGATTTTGGCACCTAAGATGTTGTTACAACAACAAATACTTGGTAAGGTGGTCGCAGAACCATGGTTGGATTGTTGCCGGTGCTGACGAACCCGAGGAAAACCAATCCAAATGGTCATGCACATTGTTTGAGCCCCTCTATGAGGATGTTGTAGCTCAAACAATCCGATTTCGCCATGTTCAGAGTGGTTACTATGCATGCTTATGGAGGGATGCCCCTCCACATGATTCCTGCTTATTCATAGGATATTCAACGCTTGACAAGGATCGATTCGATGTCTACACTGTCATTGATTGGGAATCACTGTTGATAGTACCTAAGCACGTGGCGTTCAAAGGTAATAATGGTCACTACCTTAGCACCTGCTGGATTAAGGGACACCCATATCTGCATTTCTCCTTCAGTGACATTGGAGATCACACGGTTGGGAACGAGGTCATCGCAACTCCTGATGGAAGTGTTCGCATAAAGTCTGATCATTTGTGCAAATTCTGGAGGTGCAACAACAATTGGATCTTGGCTGATTCAGATGACTCCACCAGCAATAACTCCTATACGTGGTCATCATGTAACTTTTTAACTAGGTTTTTTCGTCATCAATCACAAGGAAGAAAGCAAAAGCAAAAGCAAAAAGAAGAAAACAAATCCCCCGAATATGACGTGTTGTTTTGGCCGATCAAAGTTGACAACAATGTCGTTGCTCTCCGTAACTTGGGTAACAAGAAGTTCTGCAAGATGCTCACCGCCGATGGCAAGATAAACTGTCTCAGTGCCGCTGCGTCCAGAGTTTCCAGTGCGGTGCACCTAAAGGTGGAGGAAGCTGTTATCTCAAGGAAGATATATAATGTCAATTTTCGCCTTGGAGATGCCAGGATTTACGACAAAAGCATCCTCACATTGGCCACTGAAGATGCTATTAACAGGACCCAAGAACCCAAAACTGTAGACGTCAAGCTCTCGTATTCAGAGAGCAGAACTTGGAATTCCAGCATTTCATTGAAGTTGTTGGGTGTCAAAACCACCATCCAAACCCCTGTTCCACTCATTATTGCAGAGGGAACAATTGAGCTTTCGGGTGAATTTAGTGGAGATTACCAGTGGGGTGAGTCGTTGACAACTGATGAGAAGGTGTACAAGGTTAGTGTGCCACCAATGACAATGGTGAGGGTGAATCTGATAGCGACAAAGGCTTCGTGCGACATTCCCTTCTCTTACGAGCAGCTTGACACCACCACTCTTACTAATATACGACAAATTACTGAAACCATGGATGATGGCATTTACACTGGCAGCAATTGCTTCAACTTCAAGTGTGAGACTGAACAAGAAAAGTTGTGATGATATGTTGAAAAAAAGAAAAGAAAAAATGTACAGCTTGGCTGAGCTTCTCGGTTGCTCTATTGCTGGAAGTTTGCGATGTTGAGGTCTACTCAACCCAGCTTTCATCTGATTTATCGTTTCATTCATATGTTGGGAAATTCTATGATATGTCCCAGTTATGACTTTTATGGCTTTTAATTACAACCTCTTGATTGTTAAAAAAAAATTTACTAACACTTGTAATGTTGGTTATAACTTATGACATATTGTTGTTACTTTGGTTATAACCAAAGAAGTCTTTGGATATGTCTCAAGTGATGTTTGGTTATGACACATTGTGATGTTAATTATCACTCAATTATGATTTATTGTGGTTGTAATTTTAGTTATGATTATAGAGATTTTTTATTATGCCTCAAAGGTGTTTAATTATGATCTATTAAGTTATGACAAAAAGTGATTTCATAACTTGCATATGGTACATCTTTTTTTAAGGATATGTATATTGTAACATTATTCTCAAAAATTATACTCATAATTTTTAATATGTAATTCAAATTTATTCTAAACATAGATTTTACAATACATATAATGCATGTATTGCATTATCGGGGATAAGATCACCATTGTTTGTTTGGGTTCCTGTAAACAGAACTGCTATTAGCCCAGAAAGTTGTGGGCATTAATGGTGTATGTAGACTCCATTTACACCATTCTTATATTGTGAGATCATACTTCAAATAAATCTCGACTACACAATTAATTTTTTAAAATATTTAATATTGTTGATATGTAAATATTACGAAAGAAAAAAAAATTATAATACCTAGAATAAAAACCGGAAACTGATTCAGAATCACATATTGGTGTAATTATCTGATTGTGAGTTCACTCCAAATAAATCCTAGCATTAATGTTGTATTATGTGTAATATCTGGTCCTCATTTTCTCGGTTTGGAATCCCTCTTATTACAAAACCTTAACGCGATTTTAAGAATAATGTATTCTATTACTGAGTTGATTCACGAATCTTAATGATTTAAAAAATAAATAAATAAATAAAAAGAAATGCTTTCTCCAATTTATTGGACTGTCCAGTCCATACGCTTGAACTTCACATGCTGTGGAACCATAATATATATATAAATTGCAATGTTGTAACACAAAAATAAATCGCAGATATTTACAAACTTGTGAATCCTTATTACAAATTTAAACATGAAAATTAAGAAGCACTGTTTTAAATCCATATGTAGGTTTGAGTATTAATTTTTTCTTAAAAAATTTAAGTTCACAATGTTTGCTAAATTTGGATGGATGCTCAAATGTTCCGCATGAAAAGGGAACTCTGTTTTATATAAATCTCGTATTTCATGAATTGCTTCATGAAAAAGAGAAATAATTTACAATATCTCTTACAGCAACAATGACTTTAGCTCAGCTCAATACCATTTTTGAACATTTCACTTGACACCAAAAAGAAATAAATAAATGACCAAAAACAAAAACCCACTTTGTTTGCTTTCACTATCAAAATCCATTTTTTCAAATATAAAATTTTTTAAATTAAAAACTAATTTGACAAAAATCAACACTAAAATGATGTTTTCTCCCCAAAAAAAGGAAAAATTATAAGTATTTTTATTTTATTATTTTTCATTTTACACCAAACTAATTACAAAACAGATTTCGAAAACGAAATCAAATAGAGATTTTCATTCAGCCATTAGAAATAAATGAGCAAAAACAAAATTCATTAGTTTCATTGTGCAAAATTTTATTTTCTGATTTTTTTTTAAATAAAAAATAATTTGACGAAAAAAAATATCAAAAAAATATATTTTCACCTAAAAAAATCATATGAAAATAATAATAATTTTTATTTATTTTTCATCAAACGAATTTTTATTATTTTTTAAAAAAAATTTCAAAAAAGACATTCTAAAATTGAGTCATTCTGCCTAGTTCTCGAAACACGGAGCACACACACACAGTTCAGAAGAAAGCACCGGCGACAGCGGCAGCCACCCCGGCAACTGCGGCGGAGACCTCAAGGCCAGCGGCGGCGCTGGGAGCCGGAGCGGGGGCGCCCGTAGTAATAGGGGAGAAAACTCCAGCAGCAACGGGAGCACCAATGGGTGCAGCTTCGTGACCTCCATCGGTGTTGCCAATGGTGGCGTCATCACCGGAGGGCGCGGCGGCCCGACGACGGCGAAGAGGAGGAGAGCTAGAAGGAGAGATTGGCGAGCCATTTGTGTAGAGAGAATTGGAGGAGAGAGAGAAGGAGAGATTGGTTTGGTTTGTTTTAAGAGAAAGAGAGAGAGAGAGAGAGATTGGTTTGGTTTGTTTGAGAGAGAAAAAGAGAGAGTGGTGGGACGGAAGGTGGTGAGGAGATAGAAGAGAAACATATATATATATATATAGGGAGGGGGGCGCTGGGATGGTGGTTTGGGCGGGGAGTTCGGGCGGAGTGTGAGGACGGCCATGGGAAGGGAAGGGCTTTCTTTCTTGAGATGGTTTTTTTAGTAACATTTTTGTGTCACAGATATATTTGTATCTATTTTGAGAGATAGTTTAAAAGTTAATTTTTAAATTTGTTTTTTTTAAGAAAATATAAAAATGAAACATAAAATTATGTTTGGTTTGGGTTTTCTAAAAATATTCTTTAGAAAATTTTACTTTTTTATTTTTAACATTTTTTTACTGAATTTTTTTAATTTTTAGATACACCTAACATAAATACACTTAAAAAATATAATTTTTGTGAAAAAAATCTTTAAAAAATTTACTAAATATCAAAAATATAAAAAAATACAAAATTTCAATATATTTTTCGTATTTTTGTGTATTTATTAATTTTTTGAAATATTTTTTCACAAATATTTTATTTTTTAGATACATCTAAATAAGATGTATTTAAAAAAATAAAAAAAAATGCTTAAAATTTTAAAAATATTTATTAAAAACAAAAAAAAAGCACGAAAAATATAAAATTCAATTTAAAAAAAACTGAAATCAAATATACTAAACGTAAGTCAAAAAAGTCAAAGAGCAATTATTGAGACCGCCACAAAAACTCCACCCCACAATCCAAAGTGGGTTTGGGCCCATTTCGGGGCTCATTTTGATAATTCGAACCATTCATGCCTGTAAAAAATCAAGTTAATCGGATATCGTTTACCTATTCATCCACTCATATTTGTATTCATTTTAATCAAGTTAAAATATATTTGTATTTATTTTTGTAGATATAAATGTGAGTAGATGAATGGATAAACGATATCCGATTAACTTGATTTTTTACAGACATGTTCTACTTGACGTATGCTAAAATGTGAACGGTTTAAATTATCAAACTGGACCCTAAAATAGACTCAAATCGCCGCATAGCAAACGCTGCTGCATGCACAGCAGCGTCCCCACATTTCCCCACAACCCTCACATCATCCTATCTAAGAGAGTAAAATATAAATAAATAAAACAAAAATACACATAGACTAATCAGACAGATTTAAGGTCATGGGGGCGTGCAAATTGAGAGTTCCAAGCTTTTTTCAAAGTCTAAATATTAGAAAATTTACTTTTAACACCGTGGACAAAATAATCCTTAGATTTGATGGTTGGTTGTGAGAGGGTATAAAGGAATAATAAGGTCTAGTTTGGGAAGATTAAATAAGTGTATTTTTTGACTTTTTATGAAATATGGGTTGGGTTTGGGTTGGGTTTGAAGTGATGTGTTAGAGAGGTGATGTGACTTAAATAAGATGATGTGACTTAAATAGAATAATGACTTTTTAACTTTTTATCTTTTTTGTCTCATGCCAAACTTGGCCTTTGGAAAACGTATTTTTTATTTTTTTTCATTGTTGGTTGTCATTCACCGAAAAAATCGCCAGATGTAACCAACTGGTTGCAGTGGTTATGGTGGTTGTAACAGGGATACATAGTTAAATTAAATGGACATAAAAATAATTTGTGGCTAAATATAAGAATGATACATGAATAAAACAATAAATAATTTAAAATTGAACTTATAGTGAGTTTTTTTTGTTCCTCGGTAACAATGAAAAATTGGTAATTGAAATTGAGATATTTTTTTCAATAAAAAAATTATAATATAAACAGAGTTCTCATATGATTTGTTTACTACCAAGCTAAGGCATGGGTCTCATGTATGCTCAATATGAATCCCATAGGTTTTGGCTATGTTTGGGGTATGTTATTTAGATTAAAATAATTACAAAAAGATAAAAATAGATTAAAAATTAATAAGATAAAATGTTACATTCAAATCACAATCATTTTATTTTTTCTCTTACAAAAGTCAAAAAAATTAAAAAGTTTATTTCAAACAAAACTTTCTAATCCCAAATTAAAATAATCAAAAAATTAGAAAGTCAAAAAATCACCTTACATCCCAAATGAAAGCTTTATATCTTATGACTAGAAAATTTTATTAAAAAAAAAAAAAAAAAGTTATTTATATATAACATGACTCTTATTTTATGATGATGGACAACTTGAGCCGACTCATTTTGCCCTCTAGCACAAAATCTTAAACTTTAGGTTGGTTTGGTAAGAACATTTATAGTATGATTTTTTGATTTTTGATTTTTAATTTTTGATTTTTTTTATTTTATTATTATTTATTTTTTTTTTTGCTAATTTTGCCTGACCAAATTAGTTCTGTTTTGAAAGAATTTTTTTATTTTTTATTATGATTTTGATGTAATATTTTATCTTATTAACTTATTTTATCTTTTTTTATTTTTTTAATCCCAATCTAAACCCAACTCAATTGCCAAATGAAAACTGAATAAATGCAATTCTTGCAAAATTCTCACAAACTACATGCATGGGTTAAGCTCAACATGCTTTTATATTCTGTGAAAAAATTGAATATGAGACCTTAAAAAATTGAGATTTTTGGTGAAATCTCCTTTTTTGGGCCTTTTATTAAGATAAAGGACAACTCAATGAATTCTCCTTCAAAAAGCACCTGAGTAAGAGAAGCCCAAGAAAAGCCCAACTCAATAATAACATTTTATAGTTTTTTTTTTTTTTTTGACCATATTGCCCTCCTATATATATATATATATATCATATATTTGAACAATCTCAGCTCACGCATATACCGATCTTGAAGACGATCTGCGAAGTGAAGATGATTTGCAAAATCCATAAAAACGATCTCAAAGTCTGAAGATCTCACCGCCAACGATCTCACCCTTGGTCAATAATACACGATCTCGCCATCCAAGATCAACACGCTCAATCAAATGAGAGATTACGTTACAAAGCTGTATAAATCTATTGTTACTTTTTATTTGTTTTTGTTGATTTGTCGAGTTCAATCAGGTGTGTGCTCTATTTTTGTTTGACATAATGAAAGTAAAATTTTACTCTGGTTTATGTTCTGTTTTTGTTTGACAGAATGAAAGTAAAATTTTACTCTGGTTTGTGCTCTGTTTTTGTTTTATAAAATGAGAGTAAAATTTTACTATGGTGTTATCTGTTCTGTTTTCTTAACATGCAAGTAAAATTTTATTGTGTTGTTGAATGTTTGTCTATGCAGTTTCTAATTTGTTTTCTGGTAAAATTTAATCTGAATCTTCAGAGTAAAATTTACTCTGAATTGAAAGTAACATTTTACCGTGTTGTTGAATGTTTGTCTATGCAGTTTCAGATTTGTTTTCTTGTAAATTTTACTGTATTTCAGAGTAAAATTTACTCTAAATCTTAAAATAAAATTTTACTGTGTTGTTGAATGTTTGTCTATGCATAAGAGAATAAACTTTATTTTTCATTAACCAGAGTAAAATTTTACTGTTGCGAAAATAGAGTACATACTAGACAAATGAATTATAGTCGAATTTTACTTTAGATCTATGAACAAACAAATAAAAAAACTCTCAATTTTTTATTGTAATATATCAATTTATCATTTTTTTGACATATATAAGGTCATTTTTTCTCAGATATGAAACTATTGATCTCAAGCATGAGTTCATAGGCATCAAATCTGAGATGGTGATAGATTTCAATGGACGGTTTCAAGATTTCGATTTTGTGATATGGATCGAAAATGAAGAACAAAAGGGTTTAGAGTTTAGAAAGAGAGAAAATAAAGGGAAGAGAGAGAATACCAGTAATGTAGAGATAGAAAAGAAGAGAAATGATTTAGCAATGGTTTTAGATTATATGGAAGGACATTTCAGCCTTTTCATCATATTTTTTTATTTGAGAGACTTTTGAAACTATTATTTTATTCTGTAGGCTTCACACAAAAAAGCCTCCATAGAAGGGGCTTTTCATCAAAAATTCTTAAAAAATTACTCCGTAGTGGAGCCCCATTGTTCAACCTCAGTCACTGTGCACTCGAGCAAGCTAAATAGAACACCAATGCTATGTACTCTGAATGGAAAAAAAAAATCAGGAAAATCATTTTAAAGTGCCGGTTGATGTTAAGCTTTGTAAATCACAAAGTCACAATTTTAAAATGATTTTCATGAATCATTTCTCATGATGATGCCTTGTAAATGGAGACATTTATTACGCGCAAAGATCCTCAAGAGTGCAAATCTTAGAGTGATCCTAGTGTGATCCATCCAAGGGCTTAGATTAAACATCACCAAAATAACTTTGTTTTGGTGAGTAATTTGAAGAAGGAAAAAAAAAAATTCAGATCTACAACACCCATTACATATAGAAAACAGAGCAAAAGAGAGAGAAGAAGAGAGGAGACACACACACCCATTACATAAACACAACACCTATTACATATACACAACAAACAGAGTGAAAGAGAGAGGAGACACACACCCATTATATATATGCAACAACAATCGTCTTCGTCTTCTTCCTCTTCTTCTTCTTCGTGATTATTCCTAATATAATTATTATTTACAAAGTTTCAAGAACAGGGTTTGGAAATTATTGTGAAAAGTTCGCGTTTGGAGGTTGAATTTGAACTCTGAATTGGAGAAAATAAAAAACAAAATGGTACCCAAATAGGTTTGTGCTAGGTTTGTTTAGCTCCTTGGTTTGATTTTGAATGTTGCAGAGTTCTATAATGGCGGAATGACCAGTGGTTATCAAAGACCTAATAACGTTTTGGAGTATAGCGGGTAAGGTGTCGACAAAGGTGTGGCAGCAGTAGCGTGTCAAGGCCAAGGCCAGGGCAAAGATGTGGATCCTCATCTTCTCTCTTTCTCTCAGCCCTTCTCTTTCTCTCTTTGTCTCTCTAATGTTGCTTCACAGTCACAGGAATGAAGAAATAGATCTGAGAATTTTTTTATTTTTTCAAATTACTTGTGAGACTTAATCTCAGCCTTAGGAGTCACTCTAGGATTTACACTCCAAAGGTTCTTAACGCATTTATTAAAACTTACAAGAAAAAAAATTGAGAGCTCTAATGGTTTGTGGGTCCTACAACAATGTAATGTTTGTGTCTTGTCTTGGGGTTATGATTCATCCCTCTAAAACTAAAACTCTAATTGAGCTCTAATGAGGTGAAAAATCAAAAATAAAAATAAAAATAAAAATAAAAACAAACAAGACCAAAACATCACATCAGAGTGGGACCCACCTTCCATTAAAACTATTAGAGCTCTAAAGCATTTTTTTTTTTTTTTTTTTTTTTTTTTTTTTTTTTTTTTTTTTCTTACATTGCTAAGTCATTAGAGCTCTATTTAGAGTTCTAAAATTAGAGAGAAGTATCATTTCTACAACTTACAAGTAGAGAATAAGAAAGCCTAGGTCATGGATGGACTAGGAAAAATGAAGAGAAAACATAGATGTTATTATGATCTTACCATTTTATTCATTAGGAGGTTGTCTTAATTTGTTAGAGGAAGTTAGATTGCTCAAAAAACTAGTAGTGATAAGGTGACCATAATATTATTAAACAATATAAATTACCTCTTAAACTTTCCTAAGAATAACCAAACATTGATATAAAAAACAACAATGTTATGTACTTAGAAAAAAAATATCTAAAAAAGTAAACAAAATTTGAATATATAATATAGATTTAACCTGATGAATTTAATCCATGCATTTCAACTTATAAACATTTTTTTGGGATGATTTTTTTCTGAGTTACTTCATTGTTGCATAGGAAATGGATAGACACGAAACAACTATCATTAGCCAAAATTTACTCAGAGACATACAATGAGCTCAAGCAACAGGAGAGCAAAACAATGAAGAATTATCAAGTTTTTAAAGGGTCTGTGTCATCTGTGAATGTTCAAAGTGTTTCAGAATCAGGACACAAGAATGTTTTTGACACCATTGTCATATACGGATTACTGTCTCAAGCATATAAAGAAGCATCTCTACAGATCATATGTTAATGAAGAGTTAGATACACCAAAGGTTAAACAAGAGGCACATAACTAGACCAATTAATACATGCCAACCTATGACTCTTCTTATTTCCTAAGAAAGTGAAAATTAAAAATAATTTATACAAAACAATAAATGGTTTTGAACATTTCTGCCAATTAACTATTACTACCATACTAATTGGATTGTTAATGAGCATAACAATATTAACAAAAGACAAACGCTTCAAATGTGTATATTGTTAAAGAGAATGGCTGAGAAATAACATAGGAAAAATGCTTCCAAGTGTGCTCAAGAATGGAAACAGTATGCAGATTGCCCCACAGAAAGTTAGACAAACAAATCCAGAAAACCAAAAATAAAACAAAACAAATAGAAGAAGAAGAAATGCATACCCGATGTGCAGAGGTTTATCCCCATTTCTGGAGAGGATGTTTCCATGAATCGAGCCCGAGCCACCAGGGATGGTAATGGAAAGCCCTACCGTTGGGCCAAGCCACCCTTTCAGGATAAATGCGAAGTACAGACAATAAATATAAAAATAAAAAAAGCATTGCCCTATTGAGGTCAGCAAGAGTTTCAAGCGGACCAGATAAGATGCAAACCAGTTCACTTGTTATCCAATGATTAGGAACTACCTTCTCAAGCATTAGCTAGACACACTGAAGCAGATAGCAGAAACGTCTGTACCTCCATCAAGAATGATGTCATTCCTCATTCCCAACAAAAGGAAGACCAAACACCAAAATGTTGAATATACATTTAAAAAAAAAAAAAAAAAACTACATTTCATTTTCCTATTAAATCAAACTGAATCACATGATCCGTACAATGAAATCTCCTCCAATAACAGATATACAAAAAACACACTGCTCGCAAGGGGAGGAAAAAACACTAAAAATTTAATTACAAGGCATTCCTTCATCAGAAGGAAAACAACTGCAAATGACCACAACTCTTCCCCTTCTGGCCCAATTAAAGTAAAGAAGCAATCTACAATAACCACTTACAACTGAGACCATGACCTCATGTTACAATGTACAAATAGCTAAACCTAACTCTCCTAATGAAAATAATCAACAATATCAGTTACAAGCATGGGCCTCAAAATTCATACAACATTTTTACAAATACAACAATGAGACACAAGTAATAAATGGAGACGAGCCAATTACATGTTGTCAATGACAAAGACAAAATCAGTTAACAATTTTTTGAGGAAACGAAATGATAGGCAAAATGTTTTAAGGCTTCTTTGCATACTAGCAGACCACGTGGTTTTCAGAGGAAAGCATCCAATTTAACCCTTCTTCCTTGAGGTAACCAACATAGGCTGATTCAATCAAAAAAACAGAAAGTTGCCAACTTGGTCCCTGAATATGATGATAAAAAAATCCCCATGTCAAAAGTGAAAACACACTGAGAAAGACTGCCCAATATGACACGCCATAATCTATATTACTAATGGTTATCATGGAAGGAATTTTAAAAAACATCGCATTTCGTTTTCAACGGAACAGCCACTTGACATTGTCAAACCCAAAAGGGTTCATATTTCGAATTCAATCCTTTAATAAAAATGCACTATGCACATATAACTTCCGGGAGACAGAATATGAAAACATGATATATCAACTTGACACATCCTGGTTAACTTTGAAAATTGAAGTTGGTGCCTTTATGTTATTTAACATAAAATATGAAGCTAAAATGCCCAAGATAGGGATGTAATATGCATATATCTCACTATTTAGTCATGAGAGGCAATAAAAGTACAAAATACTTAGCTTCTTTGTCAAATAGACAGACCCCAGGAAGTAAATAAATAAACAAATAACACCAAAAGCACTTAACTATTACTATCACAGGGAATACATTGCTCTCTATATGTTCACATCATTCAATGGTGCATCTAACTGCCCTAAACAACACTGTCACATTTTACCTTTCTGCACACAAAACTGCCACATTAAGCATGTTTTAACCAAAAAATGTGACTGATTCCAAGAGTAACAAGCCACCCTTGAACAAGTATCGAATGGTAAGTCTTGTCATATATTTACAATCAAGAGCAAGACAAGAAAGTACCATACACTAAATTTGCAAGCTTAATGCACAACTACAGATAGATCTATATACAAACATCTACACAGAGGCATTAAGTCTTAGAAGACCCACCCCACTGCAGACAAAAACTAGAAAAATCATAAAGCACATGAAAACTTGAATTCTTGAAAGTTCAAAAGAAAAGGGAGTGAAATCAACAAGCATCATCATGCATTCTTCAATTATCGAGTAATTTACTGTGTAACTTTTGAAGTGGAGAATAAAAAAAACACAACAGTCGTGACTCACGACAAAGTCACCAGATGCTGTAAAAGGTGAATTTTCCTCCATTTTAGTCAAACCCAAATACCAAAACTAATAGAATTTTACAGTCAGACCCCAAAGGAACAATCTATCTAATCTTGACAGAGTAATACAGTTTTATCCATCTAGCAGTAGTTAAAGGTTTACTGAAGCAAAACGGTAAAAAAAAGAAAATACAAAGACAACCAACTCACACTATCATATAGAATAATAAAAGGTTTCAAGTATCTCAAGGTCATGCCGCAAGAAGTAAAAGTCTTTAGAAGAAGATTAAGACAAATATAAAACCGATGGGATAGCCAGTAACAGGGTATTAAGAGTCCAACCCCAAAAAGAAAAGTCAACAATGGTAACCTACTTAAAAGCTATTACGTAATTTAGAGCAAGTAATGCATCAATTAAGTTTTGTAGGCAGTAGAACAAAAGCAAAGAGGAAAATCTATTTTTCCTCCTACCCATGAGCAGTACTTACTTTTTCAGTCACGAAGCCACACTCTGTATGTGGGGCCAACAGAAAGCAAGAAGATAGATGATGAGCAAGGTCTCAAAGGACTCCTCTACGAATAATAAATGTTTCATTGTGTCACTCCGATGGAAGGCGTCTCCGCTTCCCATAATCCACATCCCTTGATCGCCTATTATCCTCTTCCGGCATCACTTTGGACCTGCTCCGAGATCTTGAAGAAGACTGTCCTCTATCCCAGTCATCCTCATAGCCTCCATCATGTTCTCTTTGACGATTGTCCCGGTAACCATCCTTCTCCTCCCTGTACCTGTGATTTCTGTCAGACCTGTCCCTTTCCATCTCCCTCTCATTGCGATGCCTTTTCTCGGAGTTTCCTGACCAATCACGTTCCGATCCCCGCTCTTTCTCCCTTGAAGCAGCATTTGACCTTACTCCTTTTTCCTGGTTTGCCTCTCCGTATCCATATTCAGAAGCACCATCATCACCACCATAACTCGACTCTCTTGTCCTTCGGCCTTGCTCTTCCCCTCCCCCTCCACCCATGCTCATATCACCCCACATCCCCGCATGATGTCCATCAAACCCAACGGGCCCCATCATGCCCATTCCATTAGTCGCCATTCCTCTGCCAAAGAAAGCAGGGTTGACATGAGGAGCCACTCCAGCAAGTCCCATTGTATTAACAGCTGGAAATGAAGGAAGCATCCCGGGGAAAGGAGGACCCGAAAAGCCTCCATAGCCTGCTCCTCTACCCATATACATTGGATCAAATCCAGCACCCATCATACCCTGAGGATGCATCAAACCACCAAGCGGACCACCAAAAGCCGGGCCTCCAGGGCCTTGCCCATATGCTCCTCCACTGGCACCACTTCCAACCCCAGAAGCGCTTCCAACCATGTTCTTTGGTCCCATAGCCCCTCCTCTTCCCCTCATTGATCCACCCCCGGGACCTCTATTGAGTATTCCCTGCCCTCCTCGTCCCCACCCACCTCTTCCATTTCCATAATTCCTCCCAACATCTCCACTCGATTGATTCATCCCACCACCTCTCCCCAAACCATCATTCATGGGCCTCCTTCCTTGTGACTGAGACTGGGGCTGGACTTGGTTTTTGTTCGTATAAGAAGAAGCCATCTGCCTTATAGTTTGTGGAGAAGCAAAGGCGACTGCACAAGCACGCCCATTAAAATTGTGACCATTCATTCCATCTTTGCATGCAGCTGCGGCAGCTGAATCATAAAATTCAACTTGACAATAACCTTTGGATTTTCCACTAGCTCTCTCGTCAAAAAACTTGATCTCCTTGACCCTCCCATATTGAGATAGTACACTCTCAAGCTCGGCATCTGTAGTCCACCAATGTAGTTCTCCAACAAAGAGCATGGTTCCACCGTTCTCTAAAGCTGGCCGAATCTGATTTTCATTAACTATTGGGCGGTTCACATTTACATTCATACTCATCTGATTAGCTGGAATCTGTGGAGGACCACCCCTAGGGCCGCTTGTGCCAGTGTTCAGAGGCGGAGCAGACTCGGCGGCAACTTTTACCGACATTTCAGAAGAATCAACGCTTATTTTGTGAGGCATAGGAGTTGATACTTGAAACCCTGAATTCCCTGCTGGAGCATCATGAGTCATCCCCTGAACCCTTATCATTTGAGCAATATCAGTAGCTGCCACTTGTCCCTTATCAGCTGTCAACTCTTCCTTTGGCTCAGAAAAATGGATCCCAAAATTAGAATACTTTCCTTCAGATGCAACTCCATGGACACTTAGCTGTTGTGACCCTGCCGCTTCAGCTTTAGGTTCAGGAAGACTACTTTTCTGTGCTCGGAATCCCCCGTTAAGCACACCAGAAGCTGGCATTGGTGCCTCAGAACGTTGCAGCTGCAAGAAACCTTCTCCAACATTAACATCGTTATAGAGATCATCATACTCATCATCTTCTCCTATCATCTCATCATCTGCAAGGGCAGAAATAGCTCCACCTCCCTGATACTGCATCTTTTGAGCCCCTACATATTCCTCATCTCCATAATCTAATTGCTGGTCAGCCATTGGATCCATTTACACTAACTGAATATTAATCAAAGTACCTATTATTTCTCCACCTATTGAAAACAGGAGAATGATTGTTAAAGTTGTCTCCTACTTGACATCAATTGGAAAAGCGCGCATGCACACACACACAGATAGAGAGAGCACCTGACATTAGACTAGGTAAACACAAATAGTAATACAGAATATAGAGGGAGAGACCACTCTCAAGCCTCATGGCACTTAATCAATGTTCAGGCCTCGTTTGGGAACCCTCATTTTTAGCCAAAAAGCCAAAAAGTTACTAAATTAGCCAAAAAGCCAACAATCCATACCAAAAAGTCAAAGATTTTCTTTTCTTTATACTTTTTGCACATCTTTTCGTAAAAAGCCAAAAAATCATCCCAAACATACTAGTTTTTTTTAGCTCATATTTTAGCCAAATAGCCAAAAAGTTACTAAATTAGCCTGTTTCCAAACAAGGCCTCAATGATGGGAATTGAAATAGCACAACAAAAGGAAATGTATAGTCATTGAGGACTTGATGAATAACAAAAGGGGGATTTGGTGATAGCTCCCTCATTATCTAATTTGTCTTTTAAGATGACAAGAATTATATAAGTACTTTCAAAACCCCCTGATATTTTAAAACTTGTTTCTTTTACTATATTACCCTCATATCTATCAGCTCTCCTATTAAGCCATCTTCACTATGTATTTCAAAGTAAAATTTTACTCTGTATAAAAGTAAAATTTTACTCTGAATAAGAGTAAAATTTTACACTTTGAAACTAAAAGTAAAATTTTACTCTATATAAAAGTAAAATTTTACTCTATATAAAAGTAAAATTTTACTCTGAATAAGAGTAAAATGTTATACTCTGAAACTAAAGTAAAATTTTACTATGTATAAAAGTAAAATTTTACTCTGAATAAGAGTAAAATTTTATACTCAGAAACTAAAAGTAAAATTTTACTCTGTATAAAAGTAAAATTTTACTCTGAAAAATAAGTAAACTGTGAGACTCTGAAGCTAAAAGTAAAATTTTACTCTGTATAAAAGTAAAATTTTACTCTGGTTCTGTCAAATGAAAAAAACAGAGCAATATTTTACTCTGGTTCTATCAAATGAAATTAGATTATTCACAACCACTGTTCTTCTATTTCTTCACAGTTACTTGCCTCTTTCGTATCACCTCTTTGGCTTCTCTGTTATCTATTACATATACACAATCCATATTGCTCACACACGACACAAAAATTTATCAAAATCAAAAACAATTTTACAACAAAAAGTTGAGAGAACATAGTAACAACTCATCAATTAATCAATTTAAGAACTTAACAATACTATCCAAATAAAAAATCTCTCCCTCACACACACACACACACACACACAAACACACACATATATATATGAAAAATCTAAAGAACTGTGTTCAAATATGAAAATTTTGAACAGTAGCGCGATTTGTCTCTATACTCTTTCACAATTCGAATTTTTGATCGACGAGACTATCATCAACGACAAGAACATGAACTTCATGAGAATTGGATGGCGATACGTCGACGTCGTCGAAGCTTTCTCCGATCATCTCCGACGATCTCTTCCACTGCGAGACCTATGCGCCATTCAAAGAAAATTCTCTGCAACTGAGAGTGATTTAGGTATATTCACAGTTTTTGTTGAAATCACGAGAGCTCCGAACGAATCCAATCCAAACCCTAGGAATGGAAGAGAGAAGGAAAAGAGAGAATTTGTTTGTGCGTTTGCTTGGTTGAGGCTTCGATCATGTTCCACCGCCTTGAGGAAGACATCGGCGGCGGCGTATGAACCGCCGGAGAGTGATCGGAAAACTGAATCGGCGTAGGAGGAGTTCGAAGAATGTTGAGAATCATAACAGAGAGCTCGTTAAAGAGCAGAGAAGGTGGGGAGAGAGTGGGTGGAGAATGTGAGAAAATTTAGTTGAGGGTATAATAGTCTAATAAAATATTTAAATAATAAATTTTGTCCTTTATGCAAGACTTTATAATTATGAGACGGTTTAAAAAATATAATTTTTTTTCGTAGTCCTTTTAACAATGAAAGGAAGGTAAAGGGGATTTATAGCTAAATTTCCCATAACAAAACTAGAAAAAATAATATATATATATACACACAAGCACATTAACAGTGAAGTCTAAAGGATCCTAAAACAAGAGAACTACAGAGATCTACTTTCAAAATAAAAAGAGATCAAATACCAACATTATTGTTGAAATCTTTCTACAAATCATCAACAAAACCATGCATTTCAATACACCCTTCTGATAAAAACAATAAATCTCCTCAGTTGACATTACAAAATTTTAGCAATCATGATAAATTATCACATACCCACATCACAAGACTACCCAAAAAAGACAAATATTCAATACCCACAAAGCAATTTCACAAAATACTAATAAATCACAAACGCCCACTAGTGTATAACATCAGATATTGCATATAAAATGTGAAAACCAAAGAATAACTCAACAAAAGAACAAATCGAGGTAATAATGACCCAAAATCAACTATAACAATATGACCAAATCGAAGTCTAATGCGTTCTTACTAAATACATGAATCGACCATAAATTGGAATTGACTGAAGAGAGTAAGAAAATAGATTTGAATATGGGTTTAGAGCGTCGCTTACTCTTCTTCTTTTTTTGTCTTAGGCTTTGAGCTGCCCAAGTCGGACAAATATGCAGGCTTTTGTAGTAATTTATGAAATTTTCTATGGCAGACCATGTGCACATTGTGTCCGACTGAGGGAGCAATATGTATTTACATGTTACTCAGAACTAATAGTAAAAAGTTTTACTGATGAAATAATATATTACCTGTCTTATTAGCTAGGTAAGAGACACAAAATTATTCACTTTTATAATTTTTCATTAATTAAGAAGAACATGCAAATAATGCAACATACTCAGTCTATTTGTAGGGTTGTAAAAATTGCCTGAAAATCATAGGCGGCTCAAAGTTCCCCTCGGCTCAAGGTGGGCTCGACCTGTTTAGGCCTAGCTCTTGAGTTTGGGCCGTCATTTAAAAACTCGGTCCGTCGGCCCGGCTCGACCGGCCCAAAAAAATTTCTATTGACTCGGCCCGCCAACTCACCCCTCCCTCAATGGCTCATTGACTGAGTAACGGTCAAAATTCAAAAAATAAAAATAAAAATAAAAATAAATATTCAATGCTGTGGCGCAACAACGGTAGAAATAAATAAATAAATAAATAAAAATTGAATTCAATGCCTGCTACGCATGCAACAACGGTAAAATATATATATATATATATATATATAATAATGTTAGGGCATCTCCAATCCTCCAAGTGTCAAGCTTTGTGGGCTTACTTTTAGATCATATTTCAATGATTTAAATCATTTATATTAGGAGTGAGCAATGGATATACCGATTCATCCAAACCGACTGAACCGTACCGATCCATCACATTTTGAACGGATGCGTGATGATGAGCGAACAGTTGTAAATTAATTTTTTTCAATCTCTCAAGTTTTGGACAGATGGCGGATTTGATGTTCATTTGGCCGCAACGAACCGTTAAACTGCGAGCACTCCTAGTAATTTGTAAGATTTTGTGTTTTCAATTTATTTGGATATTCTATTTGTATTTTCAATTGAAAAGGAATTTAAATATTCTATTAAATATATAGATGTAACAATACAAATGCATGCAATCTCTGTTACTGATCTGTTCATGGTTTTGGTAGTTTGAATTGTTTTTATATTTTAAGAACCACATATTATAATAATTTATGTGAATGAGGCATACTGTAATTGTAATAGGTGGATGAGGCATGCAATGTTTGTAATATTCTAAAGTTTCAAACTTTATTTATATAGATGAAACATATAGTGCTTGTAATACTTTTTCAAGTCATTGACTGTAATATTTTCTTCTTCTTTTTTTGAGGAAGTGCATAAGTGAATTATGTTGAAAATTTATAAAATTTTAAATCGCCAAACTGATTCGTATCAATCCGTCAATCTGCTCAATCTACATCCGCCGAATTGGCAGACGGATGCGAATTGATTTTCTCCAATCCGCCAATCTGGCGGATCAGAGGTTCAATGGCCACAACCGACCCGCACCCACTCCTAATTTATATTTTAGGATTCGTCGAGTACATTAGTCTTATAAAAAATTAAGTCGATCGAATAATAACAATTCTGTGTTCGGATCAATTTTGTATGAAAAATAAACGATTCATACAAAATTGATAATTTTCGTTATTCGATCGACTTGATTTTTGCAAAGATGATGTACTTGACAAATTCTAAAATGTGAACAATTTAAATTATCAAAACAGGACCAAAAAGTGAACCCACTAAGCTAGACTAGACAGTCTAATTCAATTACGGACTAGACACATTCCAATCCCATATAAAAAATTTAATAATATTTTTCATTTAAAAATCATAAGATAATTAAAGTAACTGTGAGTGATTCGAAACATAATATTAAAAAATTTTGAAACAAAGATTTCTGCCTTTACTCCCCACTAGTTTTACTTCAAATTGGGATTTTTGTGACAAGGAGCAACAAGGAGAAAGGGTTTGATTATAAAAATTAAATTATATCATTAACACCACCTACTTCAGTACTGAATTTTGTCACCACTTAATAATATGTGATTGATGTTACAAAATGTTGATCAAATAAAGGAGGCTTATTTTAAAAAAGTCAGTTTATCCGTTTATTAGCTAATTTGGGTTATACCATCTTTTTATTTTTTGTACATTTTTTTTGTAATAAGCAAAAAAATACAACTTATAAGTTATACCTAAAACAATCCTAAATAGTTACCTTCATATGAAGTTTACATATAACCCAATTTCTTATTTTTTACTTAAATGTAGACTCACATGTTGTAATCCAAATCTAGGTTGTAAAACAATTGTTGTAGGATTATGATCTCGATAAAAGCATAAAACATATAATCGAAAGGAGAGATGTGTTAAAAAGTTCACTATTTGTAATTGGCAAATAAAGTAAAGTTCATATGGTTCACAATTTTTCTAAATTTTATTTTTTGACACGAAGAATATGTCATTCTAAATAGTTTATTAGAAGTAAAGAGAAAATTTATAAATCATTTATGAAGAAGAGTATGAGTTTTAAAAAAGTAATTGAGCTTTTACATAATAAAACCATACAATACCATACTTGAGATAGATCTTCAATAATTTGGCTCATTAATATAGTTAGTTAATTACAAGGAGAGCCAATCACAGTTATGGAGGCAAATGAAAGTTGTGAAAAAAGTCTTGTTCTAATCGTTTTGTTCTATACATTGTCTCCATACATGTAATTTTCATCTCTAAATGTATTTTTTTTTTTTTTCATTTTATGCTTGCATTTAAAATATATATATATATATATATATTTGTTACAATTTTCAAAAAAATTTGAGATCTATTTTTGCACAAAAATAAAAATGATGAATATTTTTTTAACTTTTCATTATTTTTGTTTCTAAAAACATGAGAAACAAAAAATGAAGAAAACAAAAACACATAATCAACAAACCTCATCTCCTCTTCCACATTGAACCACATCTACTCTCTTCCACACAAGAATTAAAAACAAACTAATCTACCTGTTTCATTTCAAGAGATGATACTAGCAGTGCTGCTTCGAGAAATTATCTAGTAGGTTTAACCTACCATGTGGCTCAATATGCACCCAATCCGGGGCACTTGACCATCTACATTGAAAAATAAGGTACAAGGTAGAACGTGGACACACCACTTATCCTATAGATCAGACCTAAAATATAATTTCTCCCTTCAAACGATCAAGCTAGAATGCTCATTCAAAAAAAAAAAAAAAATCTCAATGCAATCCTAGAATGGAGTCTACAAAAATTCAAAAGAATACTCACTCTATCTAATCTTCACAATATTGTTCAACAGTTCATAAGCTGCTGCTGAAGAGATTGTTCACCACTACTAGATAAGAATTTCCAAAACAGTTCAAGAATATGTGAAATGGAAATGTACATACATGGATGAAAAGTTAAGATCAAATACATATAAATCAAACTACTAAATCATTATGGCAACTCTATATTCCTCCCAACTCCAATCCAAAATGAATCGAACAACCTAACCAAGAAAATGTCTGTCTGTCCTATTAGGGAATAATTTCTCCCAACAAAAACTGAAAAATTCTTATCAGCCTTCGACTAAATGATGACTCTTTTTATCTAATCCAACAAAGACTTCTTGTTTCATAATGAAAGAATTACAAGAGACTCATTTCTCTTACAGTTGAGACTGGACATCTATTGTACACCGCCTCCCAGGGGCTAAATCCGTAATTACACAGGAACGTCAAGCGAAGATCGGATTGGATGTCAGAAATGGATTGGATGTCGGAAATGAAACCGTGGAGCGTGTTAGAGGCGGGAAAGATGAGGCATTTGATTAAGCATTACAATCATGAAATGCCTTTACAACATCCTCTGAAATAGGTCTCTCATCACATCAATACATCCCCTTGAAAACAGGATTTGTACGGCAAATGCTTGCTCCATATTCTTCATACTCTGCTTTCGTATGGCAAGCCTGCGAACGGAGCACAAATATTGTCATCCAACAAGACTAGCCCATAAATAAGCATTCATAAACATGACAACAATCCCAAATAAACACTAATCACAACATGGGCATAAATTCAGACATGGGTAGTAACAGTCTCCATTACCAAGTTTTCAGCCTTTCATTGCTGTGAAACAATGCCATCTCTCAATTTCATTTTATTGAGGTACTTGTTCTACAATAAATCCAAATGGAAAACAAATCCACATGCAACAACTTTCGGATGTTAGTCATTTAGTGCAGTCAATGTGTTGAAATCATTTTGGCATGCAACTTTTATTTAGAATCTTTTCATTTCATCATTTTAATGATGAACTGAAATTAATGCTAGTAATCCAAATTGGAAATTTCCAATAAGGAAATATAGGCATGTAGTTCTATGCCATTAAAAATATGAGGTATGTAAAAATATATCAACCAATGCTGAAATATTCAGCATCAACTTCACCAGAAAAGAGGGGGGGAAGAAAAAATGAAACCACAATCTCCCCTTTTCATTCTGTCATCAAGTGAAAGAAATAAATAACAAAATAAAGCAGGATCTAGCTAGCAAATTCCCAATTAACAAGGTATGCCTAATCTTCTTGAATTCAAAGAATGCAAGGGCCACACTAGAATTGAAAATATACTTTATATTTCAAAAACTTCTTCGAACCACATTGAAGTAGTAGTACAAAGAGCACGTGACTATCGCCAGACATCTAAATCTAAGCCTAATTTTGCAGGTAAACTCCTATGCTACAAATAACAATTAGAACATGCAAACACACAGGAACGGAGGGACATAATTGCATCCTTCCTGAATGGGATCACTCCACAGTGAACATCAAAGGGTTTATAATGACCATGAGACCTAAATGTCCCAAATGTCCAGGAAAACACTAAACAATGGTGAAACATGTGTTCAAATTGAAGAGATAAAAACATACCGAAAAAAATTCTGATGTTGATGCAAGGACAGAGCCTCCAAACCAGACCGCATACCTCTGGATGGGATGGCTGACTACATTGACCTCCACCGGTTGTGCCTGGTGGCAGAAAGAATTCAACAGTCAGCCCTTTCATGTTATTAATTTTGACCAAAAGGTTTATTTTTATAGAAATACCCTTACAAATTTGAAATGCTTACTTTTATTTCTCCACCAAGCCGAGCATCAGATGCAAGAACACGAGCATCCACAATCTTCTTTAGATCTCGTTGCAACCTTCGGTGGAAGTCTTTGAACATTGTGGATCCCCCAGACAACACTACATTCTGAGATAAGTATCAAAACAAATAAGTGACCAGAAGTGGAAAATACAAATATAAATCCATAGCTAAAACCTGTCTAAATTCAGACATAAAAGAAATCTCATGCGAAATAGCATGTGAATATATAACCTCATACTGCAATGGGAGTCTGGCACTGTGCTCAAGCTAGGTCCAAAACTTCAGTTCAGACTCAACATATATTGAGGTGTCAATATTGTGATTTAAAATAGCATTTGTGAGCTTATGTCGCTTCAAGTGTTCCTGAAGGATTTGGGGCTATTTGATGTTAATCCTATGAAGCTGTATTATAACTATTAAACTGCCAACCCAATGCAACATCATAGGACAAAATATATCAAAGTTGATAAACACTTCATTAAGGAGAAGTTGAGCAAGGGTTTAATCTGTATGACTTTGGTGGGATTTGATATTCAATTAGTTGATATGTTAACTAAAGGGCTACGTAGTAAGGTTTTTCATCCGATTGTGTGCAAGTCAGGAATCAGAGATATCTATGCACCAACTTGACATTATGTGTTATTTTCTAGATATGGGTATTTTTGTATTGTAATATAAATATAATCGGATGACGGAGAGAACCATAAGTTACTCTCTTATCTTTTGTCTCACATCGTTCACTCACTCTATCTCTCTTAACACCTTTTAGAAAAATTGTATCTTGCTCCTCAACCAATCTACTTCACCTTATACAATGCCCTTCTTGTGTCAATTGGTGCAGACTGAATACACTTGTCTATTACAGCTGGTAAAGGGGTGCTAAAGTCGCTGCTGTAAATCTCAGGACTAAAGAAAACCTGCATAACAAGTCAGACCAATCATCAGAACAAGAAGGGTATCATACAGCAGAGAGAGATCCATTCACTACAGTATAACATATAATACAACACATTAAAAATAAGATAGGAATAAGTTAATTACTCCCATCCCATCCCATCCACTCCACCAGATTAAATTGAATTCTCTAACATGTCCACATGCAAGACACTTGAATACCAAGTAAATGCAATAAACAACATTTTTCTAAACCAACTGTGATCAACTTAAGTTATGATAGTTAAGAAAACCTTATAGGGTTTTCAATCTTTAGGTTATATTGGTTGTTTTGTGTCTACATGTGGTATGGGAATCAGTGTCAGTGTACTCAATAACATTTCTACAAGTTAGGCCTCACATGCACAGTATCAGTGTACTCTATAACATTTCTACAAGTTAGGCCTCACATGCACAGTTACTATTTTAAACTTCAACAAATTTTGAATTTTATCATAGCCTTGATTTGTCATGCACATTATTTTCATATACCATAGGTTGTCTGTCTTTGACCAAGTTTAATCAACCAACACCAAATACTATCAGAGCCAACAAATATAATAACCATTACAATCCCTGAACAATGAAAAACTGAGAGACATGGTCAACAAGTTAGTTTTGGTCACACATAAACTGAGTGGCATATCTGAAAAAGTGAGAAGTGACCCTCCAGCATATCTTTGTTTGCTCATAAATAATCAAGAAGAGGGACTGCCCACTATAACTGAAGTACCCCTGAGGATGGCAAGATCTTTCAATCATAAGGTAAATGAACAAGCAAAGTCATGAGAATCATGTGGAATGTATTTTCACTTCTCAGTTAAACTAGGCTACCAATAAATGAAATTACAGTTTTTTTTTTGTTTTTTTTTTTATTTTTTTATACATAAATAATAAATAATAAATAATAAATAAAAATAAAAACCTTTTTTTTTTTTTTTTTACATAAAAAATAAAAAAATAATAAAAAACCATCTCCAAAAATAAAACAAGAATAAAACCATAATCAAACCAAAATATGTTTATCAGATTCGGAGATGTGTTGGAGTCATCATTCCACTAACATACATTGTGATGTTCAAAAGAAGCAAAAATTGAAAAGTAAATAGGAACAAACCTCAGGACCAAGAAATCGTTCATAGCCGATATCACACGAGTATGGTGCCCCTGTCCTTGGTTTGATTCCTTTATATTGCTTGATGTATTTAGCTGGTTCTCTGTCATACTTATTGAACTCCTAAAATAATAGAAGAAAAAAGACTTATCATTAGAATAATGCTGGATTAAATATTTCAGATTCATATGAATATAAAATTCTGAAAACAAAATATTTTCAACATACTCATGCTCAGCAAAGAGCATGAATTTGTTGACTAATAATTTTCCAGAGTAATTAAGATAGTAAATGACTACCTTGACAATATCGGAACTAGTGTAGCAATATGTTTCCTTCACTTTTCGAGCTACTTCAAAGGAATCTTCAGGCGGAACATGCTCTCCTCTTTCCTACAAGAAACAACGTCAAAATCAAAACCTTTGATAATACTATCTATTAACTTGATTCTATATATGATAGTTTCAGATTCAAATAAGTACAAAAAAATCAATATCTAGTCTTAATTGACAAACTTCAATAATTAGGAGTTTGCATGTCGGCCACAAAAAGTGACAAAAATTCACAAAAGCATGAGATTTTGTATGTTATTTCAACTAGAGAGTGAATGAGAAATAGACAGGAGATAGCACCGACAGTAATGATGTATTATACTCAACACTATCTGCATACACAGACCTCAATTCACAACACATGATGCAGAATGGCATAGCATCCATGCTCGAAACAAGCAAGTGAGAGAATACCACAAACATATCAATTCAAAGAGTATAGATAGAGATTCAAGAGTGAAGTGGAAGGAAGACATGGCAAAACTGCCTCTTAAGGAAAAACTGCATGTATATTCTCTTTTGACAAATGGTCACCATTTCAGTAACATGGTCCATAACAATATGCCATAGTGTTTGCTTCTGTGCTCCTAGTTTAACAAACTTAACATGAGTAAAAAATTAAAGACAATATACCCGCATAAGCTGCTGGATGAAGAGAGTAACATCTTTCCCGGCAATGGGAATTGACTTAATGCTGCTTCCAATAACATAACCATCTGCAACAGGTACAACATGAGTAGCCCCATCTCCAACATCCACTACAACCCCTGTCATCTCACACTAAGTAAAAAAGTGCACGTTAAGACTATTGCCGTATGGATATTACTATCTAGTAAAATAAAAACCGCACAAATTTAAAACTTGTTGAACTCTTTATATGCCCACAAAAAGATTGTTCATCTTAACCCCCATTTGGGTATTCCTGTAAAACTTACATATTCAATTATTCAAAAAACATTAGAATATAATTCTGTATAATTCAAAAACCAACCTTAGATGTAGTGTACCCAGCTGCAAGAGCAAGCACCGGCTGCACCGCAATATAAAGCCCCGGAACATTGAAAGTCTCAAACATAATTTCACCGGTGTACTCGCGACTCTCCGGCGGAGTAAGCGGGCTCTCAGTCAACAGAAAGTAATGATCTTCTGGATCACACCGCAAGTAATTGAATATACACTGCTGCCAAAATCGTTCCATGGCATCCCAATTATCGACCTGACCATTCCTAATTGGATTCGTAAGAGTATAAGTATTATTAGATCGAGATCTAGACAAAGCCTCATCTCCTATATAGAAATCGAGATCGGCCATTACACCAGCGCTATGCTGGGCTAGCCAATTGCTTCCTTTCCCGGAACTTCGAGGTTGGTTTACGAACGATTCGTTGATAGCGACGACTGTGGGGAGTGTAAAACACGGCTCAACATTTCCAGCAAAACCCATTTTAGTATACCTGCAATTCAATTCAAATAGCGAGAATTAGTGAAAATTAGGGGAAAATTTTCATTGGGGAATTACGTCGAACAGTTAGTGTGCATATTACCCTGTGCCGTTGTCGATGACGATGGCGGGGCGAGAGGTCGCGGAGTCCATGACAGAGAGAGGAGAGAGAAAGAGTAATGAAGAGAAGGGGTTTAAAGGGGGTGGTCATGGTTGTGGTGGTGGTGGTGGGTCGAAGAAGAGGAAGGTGGTGTTGATTTTCAATCCATCCATTTCATTGACGAGTATATGAATTGTGTGCGCAAAGTTTTCTCAGCTGCATCATCATTATTGTCTTTGTTTTCTCTCGCTTTCTTCGATTCTTTTCTTAGCAACCAAACAAACAACAACTCTCTCGCTCTCTCTCTCTCTCTCCCCCCTTCTTTCTGCGGTGATGTTGTTTGTGTGTGACTTTTTATATGCCGAGGTGTTTTTGGACCGTTCGATTTGTTTTGCCGCACGTTGGAAGGCAAAGTATGTGGCTGGGTTCCGGTACTGCACAGCGCACATGTTACTACTCGGAGTGACGTTTTCTGACCAATGAAACGTGAGATTGGTTTCATCATTCGGGCTGGGCCCGAAGGCTTAAAGCCCGCTGGCATTTATCCAACCCAAGTATATTTTTCGGCTGATCTGGTCCAACTCGAATGGGGATGGAATTGAGGCTCAACTTAGAGTGTGCTAGATCATGGTTGTTGCCCCGTGAAAGGGCATTCTATCAACCTGACCTTAAGTTCGACCAAAAACATAAAAATAAATAAAATCTAAAATATTGACTTAAATCTCAATTTAATTGACTAAGTTCATGCGCTTGCCAGCCTGTTGAATAAGGTCTAAATTCAAAGTTTTGAAGTGATTTATTAAAAACAGAAATCTCGTTAACTTAGTTTATGGATGCAGATGAATATTGTTTTTTTGGGCTGATTTGGGCCAACATTAACTCTTATAACAGGGGTGATTCTATTTGCACTTAAAAAATAATTTAGTATGTCTAATTAAAATTTTACTTTTTATCATATATTAATGTAAATTTACAAATAAGGACAATATACATTAAATCCTAAAATAAATTTTTTTTTTTGGCCATTACACACCCTAATCACTTATACGTATTATTCATATTTAAGTTTTTTTTTATATTCTTTCTCAAATTTCAATTATTTTCTCTTCATCTTCTTCCTCGCTCCAAAACTCAAATCCATTCCACCAAAACTCACTATTGTCATCAATATCATTGTTTCTTATTGTGTTGTTATTTGTAAATAAATAAATAAAAAATTGAACAAAATCAAATAATAGATAAGAATAATAATTAAAAATATTTTTCTAAAGGTTTTAGGAGTTTTTTTTATCATGACAGTTATGAACTTGAATGACCCAACTATCGTCCATTAGATGATGCAACAGTTAGAAACATTATAGGAAAAAGGTCATTTGATTTATCAAGGTTGGACTTCGTCCAAAAGGAAATAGAACTAGGGTTCTAGCAAATCTTAAAGCATCATTAAGGATGCTAGTAAAAAAATGCTCTTTGAAAGTTCAATTTTGTAAACCGCTGGGTAAGGTATATTTGTATCCAAAGCGTGTTAAATATGACATTTTTAAGCCTATTAGGGTTTTAGGGTTTATGGAAGAATTGGATTTTAGGGTTAAGAAGTTTCAAAACTCTAAAGAATATGTAAGGGTTTTTGAAAAGATTTTTCAAAATTGTGTAATTTGAGATTTTGATTTGTTTATTATTTGAATGTATCATAAGTATGATTTTATCTTAAAGGATAATTTGTGGGAAAAAATAATTTAATGGAGAATATTGAGAAATTAAACGTATTGGATGATTTTTTTTAATGCAAATAATGTCACGACCCAGCCCCGGTTGCTTAAGCCTGGATTTACAACTAACTAGTTAATTCTAATTTTAATGAATTAAGTGGCACAGGTGAAGACGAGACAAAGAATTAAAAAGGTAAACAAATAATCCAAATATTTAATAATGTTACAAAAAGAACATTTTTCGGGACTTTTATTTATTTTATTGATGATCAGACAATTATTAAAAAAATTACAAAAAGTCTGCATTAAGCCCTGTGCTAGTCCCATTATATGAGGTTATCACTGTTCCTTACATTTCATCACCTGAAATGGGATAACAACTATAAGCACATGGTAGAGTGAAAAATATTATACTGAAAGTATAATAATATAAAATCACCATGGATAATTATTTAAGCCAAACAAAGAATAGTTTGGTTCGAGTAAATCATTTAAATAACATAAATAACATGCAGAATTATAACAAAATAATTGTAACCACGATACAGAATAAAACAAAATAGAGAGTCAATGATTCATGACAAACCGATCGTGACAAAATGACTAATTAGAAGTCAATGGTTATTTAAATCTTTCAAGATATGGGACGGTCAGAGGGTCACTAAAGTAAAAAAATTCAAAAGCTAATGGTTGTTTTAGTTCCTCAAGAAATGGAACCTCCGTAGTAATACTTATAAAATAATTATTCAAAAATATATTTAATAAATAGTTATATCCATAAGTTTTCATTTTTTAAAAACAAATAGGGTTCATAAATAAATAATATAGTTAAAATATTAACATAATTTATAAAAGATAATTTACATAAAATAATTTATAATTATATAAGATATAATATAACTTACGATAATATTAATTCATTATTTTACTTCTTCATCCACCAAATGTAACTTCAAGCCAAGGGCTTAATGTGTAAACGAGTTAGTACTCTTTTGTTGTAACCAAGTGTTAACTTGGAAAGCTGTAAGCCCGTAGGGCATTTTGTTTTGATGTTAACATGTAATACTTATGTAATGGAACTCTAATAAATAAAGGAATGTGGCTAGTTTATATGTAAATGCATGTCTTATCTGATGGATTTAATGTTGTTATTTTGAGGGCGTTACAATTTTACTTCTTCATCCACCAAAATTCCCTTTCGTTTACTGACTGACCACACATTCATTTGTTGACTTTCATTTACTTACTTCATGCACCTATTTACAGGTGCTTCTCCATCACCGGCTTCGCTTTACATAGCCAAGTTAACCACGTGGCAACTCCTTAATTGCCTCCTCAAAACAAGTTTATCCCCTTCGCTAATGATACATCTCATTAAAAATTGTACTTTAAAACACTATTAACGAGTTGATAAGTGCTTTAAATAAATAAATAAATAAATAAAAACAAGACACAAGCAATGGATCCCGTTCATTGCCACATCACTAGTGGTGCTTTTAGAACATTACTTTTAATGGTCTCAAGCATTATTGTTATCCCCTTATGGGATCAGCATTAGCATCATTAAAATCATTTTTTAACTAAATTAACAATATAAATTTCAAAAAATTACCTCCATCAGTATTGCTCGCAGCTCGTTAAAATTTACATTTACTATAGTATCTCGTGACAACAAGCGAGGTACTGTACATCGCTACTTATGTGTTGTCGGATGTCTACCCAGCAGTCCAACCAGTCAACGGCATTTTTTTTTTATTTTTTATTTTTTACATTTCTTCCAGTTTTACCTTTACAAAGTGTTAATCATATTGTTTAATTTTGATGATGTCTAAAATATTATTTGCCAAAATTTTAATTTTTTAATATACATATTATTTGACACAAAATATTATTTGTTTAAAAAATATATTGTATGATACATTTATTAAGTATAATTTAAATAAAAATATTTTTTACTATTCACTTTTTGAAAAATTAGACTGATCAGTATTCATCTTTTGACAAATTTGATATTGATGAATTGTTTTCTTTTGACAAAAGTGATATATTCACATGGAGTGATAGGTTATGTTTAGTTTAAAATCTCTACAAAAATTTTAAAAAGGTATATATGTTCAGATCTATTATAAATATTATTTAAAGAGATTTTACCATATATACAAATATTTGATCTAAATATTATATATAATGCATATAATATAAATAAAATACATCACGTGAGCAATTAGATTTTTTACACTACATTGACTATATCATGTCGCGCACACACACATATATATATTATAATAAAATAAGAAGAACAAAATTGAGCAAATCATTTGCTTGTTTGAAAGTTGTGAATTTTGTATCAAATTACCTACAAAACGGTCGCTTCATGTGTTGAATTTTGTATCATGTCACACGCATATATACATTATAATAAAACAAGAAGAAGAAAAATAGAGAAATCATTTGCTTGTTTGAAAGTTATGATTTTTGTATCAAATTGTCTATAAAAGCAGTGGCTCCATGTTTAACAAGACAAAAAAGGAAAATAAAATTATCATTTGCTGTCTATTTGAATCAAGGAGCATACCCATGTAATCCATGACGTTAGCAAGGAACATTCTACTTCCAACGGGTGTATTTTTGTGTATAAATAGAAATGTTGTGTGTGGAGAAAAATTAAGAACTTGAAGAGAAAAATTTCTGTGTGTTCCAAAATTTTGAATATATTGTATTCTGCTTTTTCACTTTCAGATCTGAGTGTAGCCTTTGATCTTACACTTTCATATCTACTCTTTGTGAGAGAATTATTGTAAAAGAGAGTTTAAGTACCACTTATTTTTATTTATTATTTTTGTGAGAGATTTTGTAAGGGTGAGACATTTATTGTTGAGCGAGACTCAATAGATAAAAGTAAGTCCTGTGCAAAATCTACAAGCTTGGTGAAGACTTGAGAATCAAGATCTCCTCCTTGCATTTCCTGCTTGCAAGCCCATTGGGCCAACTTTTAGGCCCACTTTTGATAATCAGAACCGTTCATGTTTAAAGATTTGTTCAGTATATCATACTTGTAAAAAATCAAGTTGATTAGATATCAGAAAGCATGTGTTCGGAAAACTGTTTATTAAATTCTTTAAAAAAATAGTTTTTAGTTCGAGCTCTCCGAACACATGCTTTCTGATATCCGATCAACTTGATTTTTTACAAGTATGATATACTAAACAAATCTTAAAATATGAACGGTTCGGATTATCAAAATTGAGCCTAAAAGTGGGCCCAATGGGCTTGCAAGTAGGAAATGTAAGGAGGACATGCAAGGAGGGGATCCTAATTCAAGACTTGGTGGTGTATTAATTCATTTTGATAGTAAAGAAATTTTCAAGGAGGTTCCTTGGGAAGTGGATGTAGGTCTGACTTGCCGAACCACTATAAATCTTAGTATTTGATTTTCTCTCACAATCTCTTTTATTTTTTATATTGATAATATATTATTCTGTTTTTTATTTGTTAAAATTCTAAATATTGTGTTTATAAAATTTAATATTGTAATTTTTTTTTAAATAACCCAATTCACCCCTCTCTTGGGTTGCCTACCTAGGATAACACAAAGGAACATAAGAATTGTTTGGCTAACAGCTCATCAATT